TTCGAATAGCTTTATATCTACCTTCAACTAAACGCTTCACGCTGTCGAAACGACAAATAAACTTTTCAAAAGTGGGTGAAGGACATGGAAAGAACTCTCACGGTTCACGTGTACACTGTACACATTATTTGTTTCTGGAAACCTTCGGTTCTAGAGTAGAACCATTCACAATTCATGGATACGCTGTAGAAAAACAACGCTCGATAAATTCCTTTTTGTACGTGTATCGAAACACTTACCAAGGGAAAAGGAAAATTAAGGTAATTTAAAAGTCCTGACTTATCTATATTGAAGGAAGCATCACGGATAAGCGATTTGTAGCAGGTGCTTATATTAGATGTTGAGTAAAAATATTGAAAAGGGACTCACATAGCGATACGGGGTCCTTAATAAGGATCCTGTATTTTCAATCGATTTCCAAAAAAAAAAAGGTTCTCCATTCGACTATTGAATAAGCTATAGGTCAAGGGTGATCCTTCTTATCCTGAGCTAATTTCGCATTTCCTTAAAACTAGAATAACCCACATCCTTAACTATTTGCGAACAGTAATCTAATCTAGGCCTACCTCTACTCCTCTTAACTCCTGCTTCTGACTCTAATATGTCTCTGACTAGATCTTCATGCCTGAGAAGATGTCCTACCAACCTATCTCGCCTATTTCTTATTGACTTGCTTAGAGTCCTCTGTTCTTCAATTCATTCTAATATCTCTTCATTTCCAACCTTATTTATCCACGGTATCCTCATCATTCGCCTGTAACACCAAATTTCGAACGCATTTAACCTTTTCTTTTTCTGCTGCGTCCATTGTCCAGGTTTCGCACCCTTACGGCGCCGCGCTCCATACATACACCTTTAACAATCTTTTTCGAATTTCTAAATTAACCGTTTGCGAGCATAGAAGTGACTTCTTTTTATTGAAGGCGCCTCGCCACTATGCTGTCCTTTGCTTTAAATTCCTACCACTCCTTCCGTCCTAACTTATCTGACATCCTATATACCTAAAATCAGCAACTTCTTCTAATTTTTCGTCGCCTTTATTTATATTAAATTTTTCCCTACTTTTCTTCTCTTGCATACAGCTTCCATTTTATTTAAAGTCATCTCTAAGTTCTCCTTGCTAAACGCTAATACTTCTATATCATCTGCAAATCTAAGCATACTAATCTTTTGCCCCTCTATATCCATCCATATAGATTACAAAATAGTGTGCATCCCTGTCTGACTCCCTTCCTAATATTTACTTCTCTACGTTGCAGCTCCAGTTCTATAACTGCCTGTTGCTCTTTATACAAACTAAGTATCACTCTTCTATCTCTGTAACTCATCCCTACATTTTTAAGTATATTTTACATCTTGTCCCGTTTAACATTGTCAAGCATTACTGATTCAGAATTTTCTTCTTAAACCAACTTATCGAATTTTCTTCCTAACCGTTAAATATGTCAAAAAAGTTAAAGTGAACGATCAACCAATCATATGTTTGTAAGGAGTTCGGTTTTAGTTACCTGCACGCGAGCACACCTACACCTCCTTCATATATTTTCGCGTAGTTTTATTTTAGTTGCGGAAAACTTTTGTAACAAATTAACTGGAGCAGGATTGCAATGACAGAGCCCTTGAAAAATAGCCAGTTAATTCCTGGATCGAATTGAAATGGTATATGTATAAAAGTTTGAAAAACTTTGGACGTATTCTCCCGCCTCGTTCTTTTAAGGAGTTACGGGTTTACTCGAACTTTTCAAGTCAATTATAGTGTCGATAGTGTCGGTCTTAAATTAATAACACAACATCGAATAGTAAAAATGCATTTAATTTTTAAAGAGCGGTCGTTAGAGCTTTTATAAACTAAATTAAATGGTCATACGTTATGCATTAGTTCTGTAAAAGTCAACAGAATCAACAATTATTTATCTATGTATAGAAAAATCGAACGCAGATGAATTAGTAACAATAGGATGGTTATTTATGTCGTGAAAATCAATATTCAAATAATATACTGGTAAATAACAGTCTTTATCCAGGTATAACTTACCTTATTCCTATCGAAATCAATAGACATATGTAGGTATACAAAGTCCTTGACGAGAAGGACAAGTAGTCTCGGAAAAGTGGCAATTCTAATGTAGGATCACGATTTCAATCAATTCTTGGCATTGGCATTGGAAGAACAGTCTAAAAATTCTTATATACGTACACAAGTATAGCCTTTTATGATTTATTATTTATTATTTGGAGTGTAACTTTCACAGAAATATATCGACTTTTTCGTTTTGAAATAGTATCTAATACACATGTACTTCCGAGTTGGCCCCAAACAAAGAAAAAAAGCTTTTGAAATAATATCCGAAGCTTTTTTAATTGATTAAAAAAATTCCTGAAAAACATGTCATTTATCTTCGTTATGGTCTGACTTACACAACATGATTCATAAATACCATAAAATCCTGATTCATGATAAAAGTAGCATTCGTATTCAGGTTCATTCCATTTACTAAAAGTTCTTTTTAAACTCGTTTACATTTACGATTAAATCATTAATTAAAACTAATGCATTAAAAACGTAAACAATAAAGATGAAGTAAATAGAAATATGCAATATCGAGTTATGACAGCCTGTCGTCCTGTACTAACAGCGAGAACATTTAAAATAAGATTTAAAGAACATGAAAGTAGCTTTTAAAAAAGTAATGGTGAATGTAATTATTTATTACACTATCCACGACGTAAGCATATGTTATTTTAAAAAAGAATATGAAATTGTACATGTCAATAATGAAACTCAAAAAATATTGTTGTGGCGTTCGAAAAATTTATTGCAAAATAACTTAAACGAAAGAGGAACTTAAGCCAAAAATTAAATTCGGTTGCTCTAATTTGTGTCACTGTCACTTCTGAATTAGTACTCAGTTTCTGGCATTTTAATCTTCAGAACGATGAAACGACAATAACGGGAATGTAAGAAACTTGTTAAAGCTCCGGGGATATTTAAGACGAACGAATTAGACTGTATACACTCTGCTTTAAAAGATGAACAGAGGTTTATTAAGAATTATGATGCTTTTTGCTTTAGTTTTTAGTAAAGATTAAAAATTGAGCGTATCTCGTAACAGTAGAATCTCTTGAAACTCAACGTTTTATTGTTTGTAATTCGTGACGGTTTTTATGAATTTTCTACTAACGCTTGCTAACTAACATCAAAGTTTCTTTGAACAAAATTCATTTACCATGTTTTGTTACCATTACTTCTAAAAATTTAAACCTTTTAAGAATTTCTTGATTCCCTTCACCACTTTTTCACATTTCATCTGCCTTTTGAATACCCTCTTAATTTATAAGTCTCATATCACTAATTAAAACATGTTTACTTCAATTACGTGCATTGTCTTTAATGAATTAAACCAATAAAACAGCTTATTGTAATCCCCAAAATACCAATTTCACGAAAAGTGAAAAGTTAGAGGTGTTGTAACTTTACTCCATCCCCTTGTTAATGTTTGTAAATCTTTAAGATGAAGAATTTCACCCTAAACGAGTAAAGTGTTGATAATGGTTTGGCGTGGCTTTTGATATTACATTTTCAACGTAGGCGTCAGCTAAGAATTCTTCAATCGCAAACCGCAAAGCAATTACTAAATCCCAATAGAAGTATTGCTAAGAGCGTGTTCTTGTCGTTAGTTAGATTACTAATTAGGGAATTGTGTTTATTATTTAATATTAATAGTCAATAAACAGCATCTTGAAATATGTCGTTTCAGTTCAAAAGGAATCATCCCGTTCATCTTTTTTGGGACATCTAACACCTCCTTCGAAATTCTGTTTTTAGTTTGTGCTTTTTCTTATCGTTAAAACGATACCAAGAAAATAAACCCTGCAAATAGAATGATTTGGATTGCAGGTTCTAGCGTGCATGTATACGATGAGCTTTTGTTTAAAAGCCTACCATTCAACCCTATAATCATAATTATTTCCCAAAAAAACTCTTAGAAAGAAAATGAATGTTTCAGGAAGGTCTCATTATGAAATTAACAGAAAACCTAATAAGTAGTAGAAAGGAGTAATAAATTAATAATAATATTAAAACATAAGAAATAATGGTATTGTATATATATCCTTAAAAGTTTAAATCTGTTCGGCTACCCTCTAAATCCCCGAGAAACGAATTTCAGTTGATTTTTAATGAATTGGAAACAACGTGTATGACGGTCGCCCTGGATCCCAGGTACCACGGAGATCGTCGCTGATTGCATATTCGTGCTTAGCAATCGTCATGTAAATTATTTCAATTAATTTTTAATGAATTTAAAACATAATTTCTGGAGACGAGTGTATGACGGTGGCCCCTGGGCCTAAAGTTACCTCGGAGGTCATCGGCGACTCCATAGTGTGAAGATGAATTGATGTTGAGAAAGTTTGTAGACGGCTTCACAGATCGAATGCAGAAAATGGCATCTCCGTCCATCTTACTGCATGAAATTCGAAGGTTCAGTTTACCCTTTATTGTATGTTATTATTTAAACAAATTAATGTCGGGGTAATAACGAGAGAAAAAAGAGAGGGATTATCGGAAATGCATTGTTAGGAATTTGCAATATCCTCTTATTCGCATTGACAGGATTACCAATATTCTCGAGCGTATCCCTATCTGAAGCACTAATGAAGTGCTTGCTTTCGGATTACGAAACAGCTCCATATTAATAGCCAACAACAATTTCTGTAGGTATTTTTTTATTATTTCTAGACTTAACTGAATCCCGGCATTCATACAGACGCATCGGTCACTGGAGAGTTACGTTAAATTGTTCTACAAAGTTCCGCATCCGCATTATACCGGATTAGAAACTTTATATGTAGTTTTCCATTCAGCATATCACGAAAGAGGATTAACGAAGATGAATTGGAGCATCTACACGTGACTCAAGTTAAGCAATTCCCAATCCCCGTGAACACCAAAATGTGAATGAAAATAATTCTTTAGAGAAACATTTCATCACACTTACCTATAAAGCATCCTCTCCTGCCTGTCAGCTTCCACGTAGATTCTGTAATACATGAAAATCATGACCATTCCTGGTATCCAAAAGCTGACACTTGACGAAGCAATTGCGTAAACTTTGTTCACCGTGAACGAACAGATGTAGTGGTTCCTCTTTCTAAAAAGCAGATGTTCCTCGGTAGAATACCATTCCATGAAGATGGGCAAGAACGAAACCAGTGCGGGACTACACCAAACCACAGCCAGCATAAACGCCAGCTTTCTATTGGTCATTATCAATGGATAGTCCAACGGTTGCACGATTGCGTAATATCTGTCGACACTGATGCAGCACAGATGAAGGATTGAAGCGGTCGAAAAATAGACGTCTAAGGAGTTCCAAACGTCGCACATGAAATATCCGAAAATCCATACACCTCCTGTGACTTCCACGCTGAAGTTGAAGCACATGGCCCAAATGGCCACTAACATGTCAGCTAAAGCCAAACTCACCACAAAGTAGTTCGTTATCACCCGAAGCTTTCTGTGACGCATCACAGAAACTATCACCAAAAGGTTGCCCAAGAGTGCCGCAAGGATGATGAACAGCATGAGACTTAGTTTCAGGACGAAACCTAGACATTCCAAGGCGGTAGCTGGGACCCAATACTTGGCAATCATCGAACTGGAGTAAGTCTCTAAAGACCTGTTGGACGACGTCAGGAATTCGGAGGATGCTGTAGCAAGGTCCATGTCGGTTACGTTCGACTCAAAAATATCTGTAGTCTGGTTCATTTTATGGGACTTGTCTAAGTGATTGTCACGATTGTTTTGAAAGAAAATCTACCCTGTTATTTGTAGATTACAGACGAAAGGTTTGTTAAAGATGCAAAATTCGGTAAGGTGTCTGAAATCATTGTGCCAAGCGTTCGACTGTTTTCATTGTTCAAACAAACAAAAAATCATCAAAGTTTGTTCACAATAGAGCGTTCAATTGGAAACTTTCGAAAGTTACGGGAATTTTCTGAATGACTCCAACCAATTGGAAACTCTTTAACGTTTCAAAAAGCAATCAGTTTTAATTAAACATTCAACCGAAACCTTGTTCAAAGAGAATCAAATACATTAAATATTCGCTCTTCTTCTAATTGAACTTCAAAACGTATTTGTCAAGTTTTCGCAGTTGAAAGAGAAAAAAATCTCAAACGATTTCTTTTTTCGTTAAGATAAAAACGTTCTGTTTAATTATTACGCATTACGGTGAAAGGATTGGTTTAAACAGAAGTTTTTGATGAAAATTCACTGACAATCAAAAAAAGTAACACTAACAGTAAATGGTGATGACACTGATTGAACTTCCCGGATGCTGTTCAAGTGTAAATATATTCTTTTGAGAAAATTATTTTCGAATATTTCCAACTCGAGTCAAAAAAGTACTAGTTTAAGTAATGATCAGTAAAAGTTGAATGAATTTTGTATTGAAAAGGCGAACCGCGATCGTGGTTGTTGTGCGGGAGGGTGCGCGAATGTAACTGTGCCGCTTACGGGGGACGTAAACGCGACGGTGGTTGTCGCGTCTGCGAGGTAGGCTTCTCCCTTGGAAAAGGGGGCGCGCAAATTAAGGGATTGATTGAACTTAGTTGTTTCGTCGACGTTCGTTCTCCAGTCTCCCCACGAAATGTACCCTCTGTCTGAGGAATAAGCAGTCTCATTTTTATAACTGTCAGGAAAAACCTGGGAAAACCCCTTTGGGAATTTTTAGATAGACAAAAATAACGTCAGAGATAATTGCCGTAAAAAAAATGATTTATAACTTTTACCCGACGATTAGAGCGCATTCATGACGAATGTGAGGCCCTGAAATAGATAGGGGTTTATGAATTAACGAAATATTCAATGACTAAACCGTTCATTGAGAATTAAGAGTACTGCTTGTTTACGATTGCCGATTAAGTGATTAAAAAATTCTCAGCAAACGGGAACATTAAACAATATAATATCAAAAACCAGACCAAAGCATTACCAAAACTTCGTATAAAATAAAATTTTCAACCTTGACGAATAACGAACAATAACAAGCGGATGAGGCAAAGCCACAACTTTTCACTTGGTGGTATTGGTGTTTCAGAAATTACAATAAGCTCCAAAATTGGTTTAATTCATCCACGAAGTTGGCATAGTTTTAGGAAACATGTTTCAATTATTGATACTGAGGTCCAAATACAATGTGAAACTTCAGCACACCCTATTTCTACATGACATTATCGATAATATAATGAGTTGTTTCTTTAGTTCTTTCCTTATACTTATACAGAATCCACTGTTGACAAAGTAGTATTGTATGAAAATAAATAAAAGTAAAACAAAAATACTGTTATGCAAGGGAAGAAAAAGTAGGTAAAGAGCGAATATAAAGATAGGAAACGAAAAATTAGAAGAAGTGGCTGATTTTAGGTATCTAGAAAGTCAGATAAGTCAGGACGGAAGGAGTAGTAGGGATATAAAGCAGAGGATAGCGCACGGTCGTGTCGCCTTCAGTAAAAAGAAGTCACTTCTGTGCTAGCGAACGGTTAATTTAGAAATTCCAAAAAAGTTGTTGAAGGTGTATGTTTGGAGCGCGGCGCTGTACAGGTGCGAACCATGAACGGTGGGCGGGATGGAAAAGAAAAGGTTAGAAGGGTTCCAAATGTGGTATTACATGCGGATCATTAGGATACCGTGAATAGAAAAGGTTAGAAATAAAGAGGTATTAGAAAGAGTAGGAGAACAGAGGACTTTATGGAAGTCAATAAAAAATAGGCGAGATAGGTTAGGTAGGACATCTTCTTAGGCATGAAAGTCTAGTCAGAGACATATTAGAGGCAAAAAGAAGAGTTAAGAGGGATAGAGGTAGACCTAGATTAGATTACAGTTCGTAAATAGTTAAGGATGTGGCTTGTTCTAATTTTAGAGAAATGCGAAGATTAGCTCAGGATAGGAAGGAGTAGAGGTGCGTGTCCAGCCAGTCTTAGGACTGACGACCTTATGATAATGACTTATACAATACGTAATTATGAAGCTTACAGTCAATAGTCGTACCCCAGTTTATGAAATAGATAATAAAATCGTTGTTTGAAACGATATGCTCTACAATTCCAACGGGGTGGTCATATGAGCCTGTAAAGGAGGGAGTACTCCTCTTAAGTGCCGACCCTGGCGTGCTGATGGAAGGTAGTTTTTGTAATCCTTCGCGTCTGTTTGGCATTTGATTCCTTTTACACAATTTTGAAATTTTTTTTTCTGGCACAACATCCGTAGCAATTTTGGATACTAGCCAAGATTGGTAGGACATATAGGGCAATAAAAAAAGAAAAGTGTGGTTTTGAAGATACAAGACAGGTGACTTGTTTTACACTACTGTGACAATTATTTTTCCCTCTATTAAATCAATGCCACATTACAGCCTAACGATGGAAATAACATATTTAACATAATAAACATAATTATTATATTAGGTAATTTACAATTTTAGTATTTTGAATAGCTCGATTTATTATGGCAGCTTACGAATATTATTATCGATTTTGCCGAAAAAGTCATGTAATAATATAGTCAAAGAAAAAAATGTTATATGCGCAATATTACTAAGTACAAGCTGTCGATTAGTTTTTCCTTCGAAACTTCGGTTCAGCATCGACTTGACACGCGATCGAGCTATTAAATGAAAATGTAAAGAAAAAGGAAATGGAGCGACTTACAATTAAAATGATTAACTGTAGCAGACCATAATCACCTACCACCGGTAATTTGTAAATGACTCGTTAAGAAAAAAAAAAGAAGAAAGGAAGAAGGCGTTCGTCTTTTTTTTTCGCTTCATTGAGGTCAAGGTTCATGAATTTGCAATAGACCAATATATTTGTAGAGAAAATAAATAAAATTATTACTTATATTTAAAT